AGAGAGAGAGAGAGAGAGAGAGAGAGAGAGAGAGAGAGAGAGAGACGTTTGAAATATTTTTCGCCCATGATCATTATACTAAACGATGATATGACAATCGCCAATTGTTGAAAGCTATGCGTATTAATCGATTGGTTGGCATAAAGATTAGAATGCTTTGTAAAATCCAGTTTGCATAGCTTCTTTCGTTACTTCTCATAACTTTACAACAACATTATGTTATATTTGTTATATTATTTAAGAGAAAAAAACGTACGGTTGGATATATCGAGGGGATATCTCGAGTCGAGTTGTCCAAGTTGTACGAAGTGAGTGCAGACGTGCGTACGTGCATGGCAAAACGGACTAGGCGAGATAGATCGCGCGCGCGGTACTCCGATGCATTCCGCGCGCTTTCAATGCATTTCTCAGGGATCTTATGCATGCGTGTATTTGCTATTCCGAGTGTGACGAGGGTCGCACGCGTGCGCTGCATATCGTTCGCCGAAAGATGTCCCTCTTCGAGGTTGTTGCTAGTCGCTATTTTCGCTCGGGACGTACAAACTTTACAAACTCGACGAAATTTTTAGATTGAACGTCCGTTGAATCCGATAGTCGCGATGCAGGCGACTTTTCCGCGACGCAGGAGACCGTGTCAAATTCGTCTGATTCGGCTGTCGAATGACGTTTTTGGCTCTCTGTATATTGTCGATAGCTTCGCGATATATATCACACGATATATAGAAGCTACGCTCTCCGATTATCCATCGCTGTCAAATCGAATATTCTTCGAGAACGAACGATAATTATCACCGCGCATGAATGATGGTTACGTTCTTACGTGATTTTGCGCTCGTCCCGATGAAGTAATAGAGATCGCTCGGTTTGACTCCGGCTTGTCTCGCAATTTTCAATGCTTTTCGTTCCTCAGAACGAGAAGCTGGAAGTAAAACAGAAATGGGCCTCGCGGCTTCTCGGAAAGTTACGGAAGGATATCACGCAAGAGTATCGGGAGGACTTTGTACTGAGTATTACGGGAAAAAGACCGGCGATGTGTGTTTTAAGCAATCCTGACCAAAAGGGCAAAATGCGCCGGATCGATTGTCTTCGTCAAGCAGACAAGGTACGTTCAGCCAAACGAATTTTTATTTAATTTCATTTTAGACCAGCCTCTAGTCGGAGGAACTCGATGAACCATTTGATTTCTCTGCGATAGGTATGGAGGCTGGATCTGGTTATGGTGATCCTTTTCAAGGCGATTCCATTGGAATCGACGGACGGAGAAAGACTAGAGAAGACTGCGGAATGCGCGCAACCCGGTCTCTGCGTCAATCCTTATCACATCAATGTTTCCGTCCGGGAACTGGATCTCTATCTCGCTAATTTTATCACGAGTCACGGTAATTTTATATCACACAAGTTAATCGATCGCGCGATAGGATTTAATCCAATATCTCGGGGGCAAGCATCATTAGCCCGCAACGCCAACTACCTTTCGAATCATGCATTTACACGTGCCAAGTGAATACGTCTTCGCTATTGCGAGACGCAGTCAAATAACAGCTAATACTTTTCGACCGGTCGTACGTTTTGCATAGCCAGTGAAATTACACTCAACTTGGTTGAGGTGAGGAGACCGTCTAATTACCGTCAAGTCTTTATTATCCACATGCACGTTCTCGTTCGAATCTTCTAAACGGCATCGAAATGGCGTCGGACACGGTGTGGTGAGCGTGTGGTGAGCACGTAGTGAGCGCGTACGTAGACACCTGGCCTCTTTCTCTCTAAGCCGCTCTAAGCCAAACAAATGATATCTGTGTGATTGACTAAACAATATTTAACTTTCGCGAAATTCTACCTAGCTAGCTGCTGTTTTGTTTCAATTAATCCAATATGTGATTGAAAAATATCAGTCGTCGATGTAATCCCTTCTAAGAGAGGCCGATATGACAAATGATGTGAGAAATATATTTCACTAAAATATCATGAACTTTATCTGAACTATGAGATAAAGAAACTTTTTCAAAACTCTGAGATAAAGAAAAAGTTGTCGCAATTTTTTTCCTTTTATTATAACTTGTGTACTTTTAACTTTAGATTAAATATTTATTTATCTGAATATATATGCTCTTCTATATGATTTTATCATTGTGTGTGTGTGTGTGTGTGTGTGTGTAGTTTTTTAACCAAAACACAATTCGGCTATGTTGATTTTAAAGCACAAAGATGTAAGAACTGATTCTTCTTTTCTCTTTTTTTTCTTTTCTTTTTTTTCAAACCACTTATTTCCATCTATTTTGTGGCGCGTGATAATGTTTCTCTCGAACGAGCATAATGTTACGCGCGAGTAACAAAGAGTTCCATAATATAACTCCAAGATGGAACGATTCTTCGTTGCGTGTTTCCTTTATCACGGAGCGATACTTGAATACTTTTTGGGGCTACGGTTCTCGAGACAACGGTTCTGCACGAGCTATTGTGTATCCGCGTGGTACATTATATCCAGTTTAGACCAAACTGCGATCTCACGAAAATCCACACACGCCCTCGTGTATAACTTTGCGCGTCGTATAATCTACGTGCCGACGCGAACGATGTGTCGAATGAACGTATAGAGAAAATGTGCACGCAAGCGCGTGACCATGCTTGCCGCTGTGTACGCTCGCTCTATAAATAAATAGGCAACGGACATCTTTAGCGAGCTCACAGTGCTTCGCGTATACGTTGATTTTCTTTCATGCCACTGTGGATACTTGAATATTTTTGTACGTGCGTGAAATCGCGTCGTATGTCTTGTTCCAATTGATTTTCACAAACATCGAACACTGATACATTCAGAAATAAACAAGTCGAGATTATATTTTACAGACAAGCCTCTTTTCACACTTGTTTCGGAAGTAAGACATGACAAATAAGTCGACGTTTTCGTTATACAAAATTTCGGTGGTTAACTATGTAATCCATAATTACAAAATCAGAGACACAACTCGTTAGAGATTATATAACTTGAACGCGAATTCGACGACTCGTTCCGTACTATCATTTCAAGTTTCGATACCCTATATTCGAAACTTTCAAAGCTGATTTCAAGAATCTCTCGTTCCTTTAGATTTTGTTTATTCGTAATTTCATCAATGACTCTCGCAAGCGTGATCTCATTGTTACAAGCTACGTTTTCCTATCATCTCGCCAGTTAGTGACGAAATTCAAGTTTTTATCTCGGCGCAGAAATCATCGAGAGTTCTCTCTCTCTCTCTTTCTCTCTCTCGATCCCCGAGAAATCGCCGTACATTCCGCCGTTCATTCGGGACCCTCGAGTATTTCGGTGATATGTTGCGTAATGAGATTTGCGTAAAACGGTTGCCGGTATGAAATGCCGTGCAAAGATGTTACGATGATACTTTTTAGCAAAAAGATAATTTTATGTAATTTCGCAAGTTTTTTTGCGACGTTCTCGTACAGTAGTATCGCGGAAAACGCCGATGTTCCGAGCAACAAGGCACCTTGCCGCCGTATTAAAAGTCGTTATTCCAAGTAAACTTTATCGACTTTGCCATTTGGAGAATTGTATATTTTTTGCTTCTTTTTTCTCATTACAGAAGTTCTGAATGGCATCTGCAACGCTAGCAAGGAAGAGGACAGGCGTCGAAAAGGTACTCGCGATTTCGCCGCTTACGTTTGCCTAAGTGTCTTATTCATTTGACGTAGCGCATTCTGGTAGCGCATTTATGTACTTTCTTGATACACATCTCGATGATTCTTCGCACATGTGTGTGTAATTTTTACGTGCACACTGAAAAATCGTTCGCTGGGTTTTGTTCCCAGGTACAGGATACCACGAACTATATAACGGTGTTGTCTGCAATGACACCATCCTTGCTACGGGTGTCTTCAGCTCCAAAGAGCTCTGGATGCTTTCAAAAGGTACGACGCAAAATATTCATTAGAAATTTACACGTGATTTTTACCACCGAAACGTACAAAACGATCCGTTTTTCTTATAATATAACGAATAGATGATTTTCGACTAGATTAATGTCGTCTATCGAGGTCGTCTGTGTTCATTCGCGATGGTTTCTTCGCAGGTGCTTTCGAAAGGTGACAAACGTCTCAATGCGAAAGACCTTTTGAAAGCATCCTGCTGGCTAATTGGTGTATCTTGTTATTAGTCGATATTTTTGGTGTCTAATCTTCAACTGCGTGATTGTAATAGTTGGAAGAAATATTCCATGTGTGTGATATAAACATATGCACACACACACACACACACACACACACACACATCTCGAGAGTTAATACGAAAAAGCGTTTTGAGCACCGCGACAGGCCGTTACCCCTTTCGAGAGACTAGACGTGAGAATCCTCTTGATGCGGTCATCATTGGCAATCTCAGTAATAACATACACTTCCGAATGGCGATACGCCATCCGTTAGCAATCGAGCTTTTTTCCTACTTTTAGCTTACGTCGAAATTTCCGCAATTATGATAGAATTTTATTTCATGAATTACAAGAAGAAGAGCTCTCTATTTCTGACGAGAGAAATCCCCGCGAATAGCATAGCGATACAGCATTTTATATCAATACACGTAAAGATATCGCACATATTTGCACTCGATTAAAACGCAGTGACATTTGTCTAATCGTTGCGTCTACTCGTTGATGAGTTCTTCTCTTTTTTTTGTTTTTTTCCAGCACATTGCAGCATATATATATATATATATATATACATTTGTACGTATTGTGCGCGCTTTATGCAAACGGAAATAACTGTATGTTTTGTTGTAATAAATACTTTCTGCATTTCACTTTTGTTGAGAACATGGGAAGCAAAAAAAAGGGAAGAAAAAAGAAAAGAAAAAATTACGTCTCTTTTTCCTGCGCGGAAGTGCAATTTTTGCGGCGAAGAGTGCAGCGAAATACGGATGACATACGTACGAACATGCTAGCTGCTAATGTGTGTCTGGTTTCAGCATCCATACTGCATGACCTCAGCGACATGCAGCCTCAAATAAACGCGATCAAAATAGAGCACCCGCCGTACTACTGCAGCAGCTACACCCCTCCATCCGCAGCCACGACCGCGGATCACGTTCAGCCGGCGGCTAGCTTCAGTGAGTTTCAAAATCTGCCTTTGCCCTTATTTTTAGTAGACGGAGTCGGGGTCGTACAGTAGCCGTTGCGTCGCCCGTGTCCGAAACTCGCTAAACTAGTTCACGCCGCATAAGCGGAAAGCGAGAAGGTTCGCTATACAAACGCGTGCAAAATAATCAGACTGAGATAAATCCGATTTAAATGTATCGTCTCTTACCGTATCGTCATATCGGTGAAACGGGACCGGTGAAATCCTTCTGGTCTTTAGCACTTGTCGCTTTTCTTTTGTAGACGTAACAAATATGCGACCATGATAATAACAACAGCAATCATATGTGAACAAAAACATCGAATTATTCGTTAGGCGAAAAGACATTAATCAATCGCCAAAAAAACGCACCGTATTTGCAATCAAAATCGAATGACCGCTCTCTGGAGCGTGATGTACGCACAGAAAAATTTCAGCAATAAGCATGACTGGGTTGTTGCCAACTGCATTCTCGCGATGTATTCCTTTTTTTCCTTTCATCACATACATACATAGGTTCTTTTTACGATAGCGACGGACCGGCACTTGCAATCGATCGTATATCGTTTCTTGATAGCACAATGCCGTAATATACCGGTTATGGTGTTAGTTCTCTCGACGATATCGCGGAGCGTGCGTTTGTCGGAAGAAGCTTGTAAAAACGATGGCCGGCATATCGTAGTTAAGTGTGGTTGAAATGAGTAACCACAGTTTTACGCCATTTCTATACGACACAGTTGTTAAGAAGTGTGAGGGAGTCGAGAGATTTATCGTTCTTTATTATTTTTTGATGCATCACTTTACGTTCAGGTCCACCACCGGTACATCAACTGCTAAGAAATGACAAGACTGAAAAGCCGCCGACAGTCTCGGTTTCGAGCGCGCCGACATTTTCATCAGTTCTCAGGCCAGAAGATGGACATCGTGGAATAGATTCTCCTCATTCGCAAACAGGTATATATTTATCAGTTTGTGCAGATTTAGAAATTGTTTACTCTTTATAACTGTGCAAACCATTTGATTTCGAGTCACACCCGGTGATTTGCATGGGGTGGGAAGAAGTGATGAACGAGAGATATTCAAATATTACGTTTATATCGATCATTTGTAAAAGTATATAATTTTTATTGTTGCAAAGAATATAATTTTTTAAGTGTCGTCGAGACGGTCGCGTCTACGAGAGAAAAACCGCTGTGAATATATATATCCAATTGATATATTAAAATTTGGATTAGCTAGTGTACGCACGATGAAACTTCATAGTTGTGATCGGCGATAACAAAAAGCGTTTCTTGCGTAATTTATAAGTAGCTGCAGCTCGTGGAAATTCTCGAAAGCTAGTTAGCTCGGTTTTTGAATAATTCAAACAATCATGGAAGAGAAACGTTTCTTTTTTCTTTTCGGATAGAAAATATTATAGGTATCGCGAGTAAATGTGCGTTAGAGTAAGTATTTCATTAGAGAGAGAGGAGCGTTGCTTTCTCGAGACTTGCGCAAACAAGTCATTGAAGAGAGAGAGATGAATATTAATGTATTCATCGTATTAATGGGCTTGGTGTCATCAAATCGTGACGTTTCTCTGATCTGAAGGTACGCTATTACTATGTAAGACACGACACGACTCTTAAATTTTACCATTATCTTTTCTCTCTTCCTCCCTACACTTATCTCGTCTCATTTCCTCCTACTCCTTTCTTTTTTCCGCGTACGTGCACGATTCTAGGGCGCATGTTTGGTGATTAATAACTTGTAATAACTAACACGCGCATCTCCATATGTGTGTGTGTATGTGTGTATATATATATATATATATATATATATATATATGTAAACATACATACACACATATATATATATATATATACACATATACATATAAATACATATGTATGTATGTAAATGTGTGTATACAATATCGGAATCTTTCGAGTCGACTATGCTTTGTAAGCATACGCTATTTCATCGGTGCGCTTCACGAGGGAATGGGCATCGAATTAACATTTCATTAATGATCACGTTCATTATTGTACGTATTTCAATCATATTGAGAAGCGACGGGCAGACACGCGATAATTCTTTTCGGTTTATACGCTGAATCTATCATCGTCAAATCTATCGTCTCGAATTTCTTAATTTTTAACTATCATCTATATTAATATCTCGATTGTTAATAAACACATTAAAATATTCCTCCTCTTCCATACCCTCTCCCGTTCTATCTTTCTCGTTGCACATAAACTAAACTCATGGGACAATTTTGCAGCAAACACTTCCTCTTAGTGCCGCTTTTACGGCATGGTTTATGAGAGATATTTTCCCTTCCGATACCATTTTTTCTCTGATTTGCTATTTCGAATTGATCCAGTGAGTGATTACGTAAACGAATCATAAAGCAGAAACAGTAAGAGCGAATAATCGCGGCGATAGAGATTCATTTAAAGAGCTTATTGTCGTCAAGATGACGAATCGAATCGTGAAAAATATCGCATTATCTTCTTATTCTCCAAAAATTGACATTTATAAGAAAATTAATAATTGGTATTTCGCGCGATTTATGTTCGGGACGTTTTACCTAGCGCAACGGGGCACACAACCTCTCGGGATGTATACTCATTGATAACATTTTGCTATATCGAACGAGCAAAAAAGTTCGATTCGAGTTAACGTATGGAATAAAGAAATCAATGCTCGATTGATGCAGAATTTGACAGATGGTGTTTGTCCGCTTCTGGTCTTAGTGTTTCAAGTTTGTGCGATTTGCTAGTACAGTAACCAAAGACGATTAAACGTGTAATTTTGTGCAGTTTCTATTGCGCTGCGAAATTGTTCGTAAATGGTGAGACAATCAATCGTTATATACGTGTGCCCGATCGATTATGATCGACTATGAGTGATCCGCCATATCCGTTTAATTTCATTAAATATATGGTACACTATGTTGTATGCTAATCGTCAGATATAAACATTCATATAGAGAGGATTAGACACAAGATATAAGACGATCGATATTATATTTTCGAAGAAGACGAAATGCGGGTTTCACGATGTGTTCTTTATGTTATTTCGAAAGACACATTTGTTGTTTTGTTTGAGCTCGCTCAGCGAAAATTTTGCGATCCTATTGGACTACGAATCTATTACACAATTTCACATTAGTTACGAATGATTTTTCTGCTCAATTTTTATTATAACAAGGAGGCAAATTTGTCGGGTTAACAATTTTGCATCTTTTCAATCACATAGCTTTCAAATAAAACAATCTACTCAAAACTTACCTACCAATCAACGACAACGAATCGCGTTAAAAATGAAGCGTCATGTCTGTTTCAGTCTGACCCCGAGCGTAGAGAGAAGCTCGCTAACTCGACTAAAAGGTACTTTGTGACTGGTTATTGACTGTTGTCTCTTCCTCTCTCTATTTCTCTTTCTCTCTCTTTCTTTCTCTCTATCTTTCTTTCTCTCTCTCTCTCTCTCTTTCTATATGTATATGTATGTATACACACACTCGTACGCACGCGACTGTTTATCATTGTACGCGCATACACATACGGGACTTATATATTTGTTAACTGCGTTGCAAGAGAGAATGGGACATTTCAAGTCTCTTTGTGTATTCTCAGATTCTATGCTTGTATCAATCAGCACGACATGTTTACGTTGCGCGATGATCGTATATATATAAAATTTACATCAAGAGTAATAATAAAAATACGATATTACCGAAGTATCCAACGCGTATCGACTCGGTACCGAGACAAATTACAAGATATATGAATAGGAGATTCGTAAATGTGCAGGGGGGGGGGGGGGGGGAAATTTTT